AAATTGAAAATGAGACCGCCGTGCATTTTGATACTTCAGCCACTGGTAGAGCAGCAAAAGATACTCGGCATGAGGAAGTTGATCATCCGATGCATCAAACTAAAGAGCAATTGAGGGATGTTGCTCCAAATTTCACCATGATATCAATCAATGGTTAGAAGAGCAATACAATGATATAGCCATTCACATTGTGAGTGACATGTCAGACGTGATCAAGATGATCATCATCAACAATGTGAAGAACGCCATATCGAGGCCAAGATCGTTCAACCAACCACTATAAACAAATCCAGTGGTATCGTGGTACATTCCTAATCCCTATTCATCTTTCAAGGCAAATGTTGGTCAAAATAACCATATCGATAACAATAATTTGGCAAATCATTGCTTAACAAGCAGGTCAATTGCCAAATATTTGATAGGCTAGTAACTCCATCAGTACCACCCAATGCGAATATTCATGTTAGGCCTAACATGCCGATTAACACAGATAATTCGACAAGATCAGCATCACCGCCTAGAGGGAAAAATGGCCAAGCAAATATATAATTGAACATAGTATAGTTTGTTGAGAAGTTCAACAACGATTGAGATTAGGCATGAATACATATTTATAGGAAACTACATTCCGGATAGGTTGATAATTGGTCTTTTCCAAGAGGTTTCAAAATGCTTCACTTTGTCATTTTTTTCTAGCGAAGATGAACAATCGACCATCAAACATATTGTTTGATTTATAGCCCAGTGTTGGGAAGCATGGATAAATGAATTTTTTAAAACTCAGGTTATGTTCTTTGTCTTTGTAAAAAAAATGCTTTTACTTGGTACACTAATTTACCATCTAATTCGGTGTGTATTTGGTCGGAGATGGAAATACAATTTCATTATCAATTTTATAGAGCGATACCTTAAGTATCGATTGCTAATTTGGCCAAACTCTATCAATACAATAATTAGTCAGTAGATCAATTTGTTGTTTGATTTAAGAAGGTTAGGAATAAATGGCTTACTTACTCTCAGAAAAAGATTTCATGAATTTGGCTTTCGATGGATTAAAATTCGATATAAGAGAAGATTTTGAAGGCCAAGACTTTGTCAATTAATTTCAATTGGCAACAAGAATATTTAAGTATGAGCAACTTCTTAAAGAGAGAGAGAGATAAAGGGCCAGCTGAAAACTTTTGCACAGAATGTGGCTTTAATGGAAAATCAGTCAGAGTATGAATATGATCCGAATGAAAACATTGAAATAAATGTGGCAAATATGATGCTTGACAAGCCTTGCATTCATCTAATGTAAACCGAATCCATGTGATATCTTTTTACTAATAATCATGTGACCGTATTCTTACTCTATAAATAATACAGTAGATGAAAATCCTACGGGATTTAATGCGACACTGGAATTTGTTAGACATCCTTCTTGGGTATAATTTATGTGTAGCTGTTATTAGGGCAACAATGAGTATATTTTCTTCTCGAATTATTTAAAGATGTACTTGTTCGATTTAAGTTTAACTAGACGAGGTTTTTCATTAAATTCCCTCAATTTAATTTTTAAACATTTTATAAATTTGAAAAAAGAATAATGAAAAAATTCTTAAGTTTTTTTTTCCAAAAACAACTTGCCGTGCCCGGCCCGGTGTCCAGCCCTAGGTAGGTCTAACTTCTTCTCTTCTTTTTTTCAATTTTTATTGAGTAGGGGTATGCATAAATGATAGTGACTTATCAACAACATATATATATCATTCCTTTCTTAATTCTTTCGTAGGACCTCAACCATGGACTTCACCAAGATGGGATATATATATATATATATACCTTTCTTAATTCTTTCGTAGGACCTCAATCATGGACTCCACCAAGATGGGGTTTTCTGAGCTCCTTGCATACATCACAAATAATATATTCTATAAATATTGTATTATATACCGGAATTAATTAAAACTATCCAAGCAAATGACAGTTTCGTGTCTCGATTAGAACTTGATATCTGGACCCATCAGCTTACGTCACACGAGCATTGAAAATAATAATTAAAAGTATGGTCCAAAAGACATTATTTTATTACTTTCTTAATTATTATTATTTTTTGGACGGTTTACTTCCAGCTAACCAGATTCCTCGGGCATCGATGAAATCCTTCGAGTTAGCTGCCATCACATGCTGCGATGTCGACCCGCATCAAGATATATGTCAGTCTCGATCTTGCGGGAGCATCATAATCGCTGAGATTACGAGGTTATTGAAATCAAGTTTTGCCTGCAATGAAGAATTTAATAATCGTGGAATCATTTATTATGAAACGATATCTTTACAAGAATTGGCAATACAAGATTTTCAAATGAAACGGATGGTGCATAAACGAAATCAGATGTCAGCGGGATTGATTATATAATGACTTTTAAGTGGTGGGTCCACCTAAAATTAGGTAGCCCTAATACCAATGTCTGTAATTGTTGTTTTTTTTCTATTTTTTGGGTTCTTTGAAGGATTTCAAGTTAAACATTGCCGGACCAATAAAAAAAGCTGCAAATTCTTGGGCCTATTGTAGTGCCGGGACTTCTGGGCAAAGTTGGGATTGCTTTGTAAGTGATGCATCCCACCAGAAGCCCAATCCAACATGACGTGGGCCGGGTCGTTTTTGGGCCAAATCAAGAAAATCGCAACCAAGTTGGCCCATTACAGTGTCATTTCAGATCATTTCTACTTTTGTTGGAATTGTTGATAGTAGTGATCGGTTTCAGGTGGGTGATTTCCATCCTAAAACTGAGAACCGTTCACTAAGGGCCGATTCCACAAAATGAGAATCGGTCTGGTTAGGTTTCCGGGTGGTCCATGAAACCGGTCAAGGGAGGCGGAGAAAGGGTAAGGAGGGGTAGAGGAGGAGGGGAAGGGTGGGCACATGTCGTCAAGTAGGATGGAGCAAAGGTGGGAGATGGCGAGACGAGAGGCAAGGATGAGTACGGTGATGACAAGATGGAGGGGGAGTGGAGGCATGGTGGTGGAGGCTGAGGGGAGAGAGGGAGAGTGAGAGGTGGGGAAGAGTGGGCACAGGTGTTGGGTGACGGGGAGCAAAGATGGGAGAGGGCGAGACGAGGGGCAAGGATGAGTATGGGACAACGAGGTGGAGCGGGAGTGGAGGCATGGCGGTGGAGGATGAGGGGAGAGAGGGAGAGCAAGAGGCGGGGAAAAGATATGCATCTCTAGAGAGAAAGAGCGCGAGCATATATTGGGGAGTGTGAGAGTTTGAGGGGGACGTGAAAAGAAGTGACATGAAAAGACGTGACATGGGGAGGATGAGAGAGAGAGAGAGAGTGTTTAGGGTTTTTTAATTATTAAAGACAAAAATTATATATATAAGTAAATATGTACCGGTCCAATCCAAGTGAGCGGGTGGCGGTTTTCACACCTAGCACCGAGAATCGCCGGTTTTGGGCCAATTCGGTTCAATTTTAGGTGGTTCGGGCAATACCTGATTCTTTTGCACATCCTAATCGTTGGTGTTTATTTGTAAGACAAAAAAATGTTTAGGCCATAATTAGGATCCAAGCTGAAGTTGGTCCCTTCTTGTGAGAAAAGTTGATGCTCTGATATCAGTAAAAAGGTCCTAAGATGCCAGTTAGGGAAAACGAAAAGAAAGCTTGTAGTAGGTATGATATTCCACACACAAACGGCTCTTCATGCCTTTATAAAAGGAACTGTCTTTTAGTCACCAAACCTCTTTTCGAATTTTGATTAGCACCTTAAAACTGCTTTATAGTGGTAGAATTCTGATGCACAGATTTCAAATCATGGCAAGTGCACAGCATACTACTAGAACTAATCAGCGCACATACGTTTGTTTAAATAATCATACCATGTAAAAAGGTAGAAAATTAAGGACTCATAATATATACAAGTTTTATTTCTCAAGGCTTTTATGAGGAGCAGATCTTGCCTTCAAATATTATAAGCATTGCCTTATATAGGCACAAACGATTGCACAAGCGATCAATTGATTGATCGCTTGTGCAATCGTTTGTGCCTATATAAGGCAATATTTGTAGTTCTAGAAATCACAAATAATTACCCACGGACTCATCATACATAGACTTTTAGGACTATTGACTCAGATTACTACTAACTTAGATGACTGACAAACTCATTACTGACGAACAAGGTTTTGACAGACTACTAACAGGCTCATTAAGACACTGATCGAAGGTTTTTCAATTTGCTACAGTATCGCTACAGTATCCTGATACAGTACATTTGCTACTGTGTTTTTCCGACAATGGACCATTTTTTTCCAACACGTTTTTCTACGTCTTCAGAGATCGTACTTGTGGATGGGCTCTTCAGTATTATCGTTATCAGAACTGTCCGAATTATCGCTATCGTTTTGTCTTTTGTATTCTCTAAGGAGCCGTTCAATTTCTGCAATTTCTAGGGCCATCTCTTCACGAAGTTCCAAGGATTTTTATCTGTTTTGTGAAAACTCATAATTAGATGGAACGTCCGCGGAGCTCTAAGCAACATCAGCGGAACGTAATGAAATACCTAGCTAAGGAATGTTTCTTAATTGTAGCGACGACTTTTTTTGTCTAGATCTAGATCTAGATTGAGTGCAAGCTGTAACTCACTATAAATTGGTGCCTTGTAAGGGATTTGAGCCGTCCTTTTTTTTTAAGTCCTTGTGTTGCTTCATCTTGCAATTCTGTGAAATTATGAAATAGTATTTAACTCCGGCTCTAAAACACATGACTCAACTTAAATTAGTACATATTTCAGTTACTTTTTAGACACGTACTTGACATTACTGTTCAATTTCATTGTATCTTTCTAATATTTAGTTTGAGCTGAGCTCGACCTGCAATTTATTTTTAATAATCAAGGGGAGCAGAGTCGAGCTCAGCCTTACGAAATGCATCGTCGAATCAAGCTCAAGCATTGAGGACTGCAAAGTCGAGTCGAGTCAAGATCAAATAGCAAATCATGATTTCTCAAAACAAAAATCATAAAAGTAAAAGTTCTTTTCATTTGTACTACTATGATGATAATAATAATCATCATCACTATAATAATGAGAAAAATACTATTTTTACAAAAATGCTCATTCGAATTTCCTGTCATTACATGTGCAGGTGCTAAGTGCAAAATCTCTCCAAGCAAGCAAATAGAATAAACCTATAAAGAAGCGTTAGATTACGCATGATGAACAGATCGTGAAGAAGAGCCAGAGTCAATGGAAGAGATATGTGATCGCCAGTGCCACCAGAAGAAGAATGTAAGCTACTCCTTGATCGATCTCTTTCCCTGCATTCAGTAGTAGGAGAGGACATGTTGAATCTTTCACCGTACGTGATCAAAGACAAGCGTGAAAATCATCGATAAATCAAACGCACCGTCACTGGAAGGACCCTTGGGTGAAGGCGAAGGAGCCGCGCTCTGCCCGTGACCCAGCTGCAAGATCATCATCAGCGACGACATGAAGGCGGTGGTTCGGACAAGGACATCGTGCGGTCTCATCGGAGTTGTCTTCGAAGAGCTCGTGTTGATGCAGAAACCACATACGCAGGAGAGAGAGAGGGAGAGAACACGGAGAAAAGACCAGAACTGAGAAAAATATATAATCAATGTCGAGGAGTGGGTCAGTCGTGAGCGAGAAATGCGAGCGAAGAATGAGTTGGTGGTACGTGGCAATCTTCAACTTTGCTTGTTGCTTTTTATATTCAATGGCGGATTGTTCTCGGGGACACGTCGAGCGAAAGTCTGAATTTTCTGACAAAGAAGAGGGTGGATTCGAAGGAACGAAACGCATCGCGAGCATAGACAAATTTTTGCCGTCCTCTGTTTTCCTTTTTCTTCCGCGGCCTGCTAAACTGAGTCGAACACGAAAACGACAGCCAGCGGATGTGTGCTCGGACATATATGGGTCTGTTCGGTTTAGCATTGCAAATAGGCTTTGGGACTCTAAAGTCCATAATCCCAAAGCCCATTGGTCAAATACAAATGGCGTTCGGTTTGTTTTTTGCTCAATTTTGGAGAAATGCAATTGCATTTCCAAATGCCTCTAAAGGCCTTTAGCCCAAAGCAGGTTCGGAGGTCATTTGAAAAGTAGCATTATGAGAATACAAAGTCTTGGCATTGTTCACTGATAATTGATCATTGGTATCGTACGTCTTCCCAGGGTTTGCGTGACTGGAGCTAGACGGAGGCCAGCAATCACCGCTGGAGGGGTCGTGCAACCCCGGTGGCATCGTTCCCGCGACTTTAGGCGGCCACCTAGGGTCACACGACCCAAGCGATCCAAGCGATGCTACCTCAGTAGTGGGAACCTAGTCAATGCGGGACCCCAGGCGACGCCACCTGAGGTCGCAAGAACCTAAGCGGCCGTCCCCTAGGTTGAGGGTACCCCAGGCAGTCGCGCGATGTTGCTTGGGTTGCACGACACCAAGCGAGGCTTGCCAGTGGCCAGATCTGGAGGTTGGCTGGCGGCCGTTTTGGCGTGCTGGCAACTAAGCTCCATCGGAAATAGTTTGAGACTTAATTTTTTTTTCAAAATTAGCAAAAAGTCCTTTACAAAATGTGGTTTTTACAAGACAGCATTTAAGTCAAAGTTACATCTCAATGTATTTTTACAATATATTTTACCAAACACTACTTGCATATCGAAAAAACCCCATTGGCCGAAAGGGCTTTGCATTTTCCCAAAGAAATTCCCCCACGACCGAACCAAACAGGCTCATAGTTCAACATTTGAGCCCGGCTCAATTTCAATATTCAAGGCTCGACACTTGATTCGAGCTCAATTGAGCTTTATTTTGCGAGCTCAAGCTCAACTCGAATGCCTTTTCTATGAATTTGAGCTCAACTCCATTCGAGTGGATCAGTCAATCAAACTCGAGCACCTACTCATGTTCGAGCTCAAATTTGGATCTATATTATGAACATGCATTGTCAAGTTTTTCATAGGAGTGAGCATGGTTCCAGAGTAGAACCTAAAATCTGAGAACTTGACCGATGGAAACCTGTAGGTTACATGTTCCGGTTCCAAAGTATGCAAGGTAGGTTCCAGGTTCCAGAAATTGGGAAACTTATTTTGACAGGCAGGTTTTAGGTTCTAGGTAGGTAGAACCTGAAACTTGGAACCTAAAACCTTAAACAAGTTTTGTGTTTTTCTTTATTTATGTCTTCGTGTGATCCTGTGATGTTTCATGGCATTAGTTTATGAATATATAATTTGGAACCACTAGTTTGAACTTTCATTTTATGACTCATTAATGTTTCATATTTTTCGTGTGTCTAAATATAAGTTACAGTTAGTGGATCGTAGCAGCAAGTGGTGGTCATTAAAGGTAATGATTCACTGCAATTGTTCAATTAATAATAAAGGTGGAACCTAGATAGACTTTGGAACCGATCTTGGAACCTGTGACACGGTAAATTCCACGTTCCACGTTCCGACGAGTAGGTTCCAAGATCCAAAAATGAGGAACTTATATCCAAGGGTAGATTCTAGGTTTCAGACGAACCCTGTAAGAAACTTGAAATCGCTCACTCCTGGTTTTTCGAGCTTCGGCTCAATTCGAACTCGAAACTTGCTAGTTGAACCCGAGAACTATACGAAGTGGAAAGGCCGAAAGATTAGTGGGCTGAAGAAGGAAAGGACACCCAATCCAGCCCACCAACTCTCATCTGCAAACCAATGGAATGCGCCATGATTGGAATTTGGAAATTGGGTGGTGCTTTGGACGCGTCACGCTGAAACCATTTCAGTTCCAGTGCAGTGCAAATGCCTAACATCCCATTTGCTTTTGCCTCCGCACAACCAAACAAAACTCCAAAATCGTCAAGCCCAACAGCATCCCGCCTCCAGGCTCCCCCCAAGATTCTTCTTCAGCTTCTGCCGTAATTCACTCGCCAACATCCTCTGATGTCTCCGCCCTCACCGATGCAGCTATAAATCACCTCCCTCCAGTTTCATCACAGCACACGGCCCCCCTCGATTCTGTGATTGTGTGTGAGCGTGTCGGGGTCGGCGAGAGAGACAGAGATGTCAGGTTCTTTTGTGCTCTCGAACCCAATTTCCCACAAGACGCTCCCTTTTCGCCCCACCTCTCGTCTGCTTCCCAAACCAAACCGACCCACCAGCTCAAGATTCCTCCTTGACCCGACGCCAGTCCCGTCGAAAGTATCCCGGCTTCCCGGGAACGTTCTTGTTCGGACTTCTATCAGGGACAGCGACACGAAAGAGACTTCTTCTTCGAGCTCGCCTTTGGTTGGGGAGGACTCGGCGGTGTTTGACATCGGAGAGCAAAAGATCGTGTCGTGGGTGTACTTTTCGGTGGTTCTGGGTGTTGTTCTGTTCGTTCTGAATGTGGCCTGGCTTGATGGCTCTCCTTCAGGGTTGGGACTCGGCAAGGCCTTCATCGACTCTGTTTCTGGGCTCTCAGATAGCCCCGAGGTACTGTTTTTCTTTTTTTAACTTTCGGTTAATTCTTGGTTGGTGGGTACTTATGATATGAATGTGAAGTGAAGCTCTGGAGTTAAAGGCTAGGATTGAGTTTGTTAGCTCCAGATATGTTGTGGCTTGAGATCATGAGTAGATGTGGGCCTGAATGGAAAAAGGCATGTTTGCTTAATTGGGCAATCGATTTGGAGCTATGTCATCATGTGAGAGTATATGCCTTCAGAGAACATGGAAGTTGGATTTTGTGAAGATGTAAGAGCAAAGCATGAGTTTCCGTCTTCAATGCGAGAATTATGGAGTTGATCTTTCTTTGATCGTTTCGTACAGTTGAGAACTTGACGACCAAAGAGATGGAACCTTTGCTCAGATAGATGCCGTAACTCGTGGAATGAGGATCTCTATTTTGTGATTTTGTTGGTGAATCTGGATTCAAGGAGATGAATTTTGTCTCCGTGATTAGAGCACGACATCGGGTGTAAATAGTGTGGTGCATGGGTTGTCCATCCTATCAAAAGTATCCACAGTTTGATATGTTAAGTGACAAGGAAGTGAAGGGATTGGCTAACTAAGAGAGATATTCGGTTCCTTTCAATCGCATGACGCAATTTACCTTTATAAGATTATGAAACAACATTTACGAAATGCATTTCAACCACTCATCTTCCTTTAGTCTCCTAAAATGACAGAATCTAAATCCTTGAGAAAGAATTGGAAATAGGAGGAAGTGGAGGTTGATTGACATGCCAAAAAGTTCTGCTTCTTCTGTAGACATTTATCTCTAGTCCAGTGCTAGCTGTGTTTGCATGTTGCTACATTAGATTGCCCTTCCGACGTTGTTTCAGGTGCTCAAGTTTTGTAATGAATGGCTTCTCTTACCCTTCCAATTTTGCTGCTGATGCCTGCTCTATGCCAAATGCCATTGGAGTAGGATCTTGAAAACAGGAAAGTGATATTAACTGTTCTTCTGCAGGTTGTAATGTTATTGCTCACTCTCATTTTTGCCGTGGTGCATAGTGGATTGGCTAGTCTTAGGGATTCTGGAGAAAAAGTCATGGGTGAACGGGCCTACAGGGTGTTGTTTGCAGGCACATCTCTTCCATTGGCCATTAGCACTGTGGTAAGTTTCTTACTTTACAGGTGGACAGTACACAAGTCTTCTGCTAGTCTATCATTTAATTTAATGTTGATGCATTGTCTCAATTTTCACTTCTCATGTTTGCATAATATGTTCCACAGATTGATGGGGGTTCTTTTATTGAATCTACTCTGACTTTTCGTGATTTAGGTCTACTTCATCAATCATAGATACGATGGAGTACAGTTATGGCAGCTGCAGGGTGCTCCTGGAGTACATCAACTTGTGTGGTTCGCAAATTTTGTCTCTTTTTTCTTCCTCTATCCTTCTACCTTTAACCTACTAGAGGTGGCAGCAGTTGATAAACCCAAGATGCATCTTTGGGAGACAGGAATCATGCGAATCACCAGGCACCCGCAGGTATGAATTCCATCGTACTTTTGTGTTCACAATCCACATTGCCATACCCAGGATGGAAAGTTGTTTGAAGACAGTTTAGTGATATAAGAATTAGGTGGAACCTGTTGCAATCTGCTCTCTCCTTATGTTCCCACTCGAAGGAGGTTTGAGCTCATGCATCGAATCCCTACTTAAAAGGGAAAAGTGGATGTTATTCTAGAATTTTCCCTAGATAAAGTGAATTTGAAGAGGAACCACATGTATTTGACAGTTATAAATAATTGGAAGCGTAGGTGCCCACGAGGCACGATAAAACCAGCTGTAATTGGTTGAGAGCTTTTTCTTGAGAAGGTTCCATCAATTAGTGGCCTGGCTTGAGCAAGTTGCTTACTCGAGAATTTATGTATTTGGACTTTGAGGCAATGTTGGCACCTGGTCTTGAAAATTTCTTTGTACTCTTGTAGACTTCTAAATATTTCTCGTGAAAAAGGAGGGAGACTAGTTCCTTGAAAGAATGATTTGTGACACGCCCTCTCTCCAATATTCAATAGTTTAAGTGAAAATAAAACGGTAAAAAAGAGCTTACTTATGACATATTCTTCACTCCAGATGGTTGGGCAGGTCATGTGGTGCCTGGCTCACACGTTATGGATCGGCAACTCCGTGGCCTTGGCCGCATCGGTCGGCTTAATTGGACATCATCTCTTTGGCGCTTGGAACGGAGATAGGAGACTAGCCATCCGATATGGAGAGGCTTTTGAGGCTGTGAAGAGCCGGACGAGCACCGTTCCCTTTGCAGCAATTATTGAGGGCCGTCAGAAGTTGCCGAAAGATTACTACAAGGAGTTTCTCCGATTGCCATACCTATCGATCACAGCATTGACTTTGTTTGCCTATTTTGCACACCCGCTAATGCAAGCCGGAAGCTTTGGCCTGCATTGGTAGCATGAACTGTACGTATCATCTGAAGAGCCAACATTAGCATCTTCCAAGTTGTACATATCGGTTGCCTCTGTGGAAGTGTGGGATGAATACATTGCCAGGAACGGGATCCCTCGCAAGTCGCAACATAACAAATCCGAAAGAAGATAGTTTTTGACTGTCGAGAGAAAAACAGTAGTAGAACGATGTGATGATTTTGTTTGAGCAGATTAGGTCATGTGCAGTGATTTACTTCAGATGCTAAAATTTCGCCGACTATTCTGTCGCGATTGCAAGTTGATTTGCACACGATTTGAAGATCATTGACCGTGAGGTTTTCCGAATGAAGATGTATTCTTTAGTAGAAATTTCTCTCCTCCTCCTCTCTTGCAATCCTGAAATCTTCCCAGATTTGATTTTCCATGCGAAATGTGGATATGGAAAGAAAAGAATCTCACGAGTTTATTTTCGTGCCATTTGTTAGACGAACCGTTTTCCTAATAAGATCTAATATCATTGGCATAGAGTTTGTGCAAACACTTCCGAAAGCACCACCCATCCTTCTCTTCCTCTAGTCGTCGTCGTCAATCTCATAAGTCGGAGCCAATACAGTAGCAGCACATCTGCACGTCGCCGTCAACTTCAGCTTTCTGTTTATCATAGAGAAACCGTCTTTCCTAAAAGCTTAATCTGCCAGGACACGTGTTAACAATCTCGATACAATTAAACCATGAAGACAAACGATACGCCAAGAAAGAACGTGGATCCTACGCTAACTTTTACTATCAAACAAGAAGAAATAAAGAAGTGATTTTGTGTATACGCTCTTTCACTTTGATGGATCGAAAGAAGAAGAAACAAAGAAGTGAGGTAGGATCTGACTAGGAAAAGCATCAGCACCACCTGGTCACTTTCCTAGAACCAATGACTCCCTTTTCTCCACACGTTTTCGTAGGAAGATCCCTTGTCCAAACACTTCCTGGAAACATCAAAATCACAATAATTTCCAACTATTCCCGTCTCCATTATCGTCAGGACAGATTCGTGTTCGGTGTCCTCACTCCTCAGTCACCATTCTTAGCTTGAAAGGCGAAAAGATTGAAAAAGAAACCGAAACTTTGCCACCCAATTGCCAAATGTTGCCCGACTGTTGGCGTCATGTCCAGTACCACCTCTACCGACTTGCCACCTCGAAACTCCACTGGCCATGTGCCACCAGGTCAATTGATGCCGAATTTTCCTGAAACTAACGAAAACAACAAAAGTGGGGTTGCGCATAAAACTGTACTTGTTGTCTCATTGATTGAATGCAATTTCATTTGATCATACGAACATTTATAGCCCCGAATAGCACCGACGGAGTTTTGATGATTTCATATCCTATCTTAACTTTATACGGACTACAAGATTGGTTTTGCCTTCACTCCTCGATGTACGAGTACAAACGCGACCCAAATTCTGGACGAGAAGGCTGCGATGTGAGGTTTCGGTTTGATGTTCGTCGATGTGCTGTGCTGAGTGAGATTGTCCCGAACTCGCGGCCCTAGAAAACCTACCTTGGGAGGGTTGCTATGGAAATACTCAGTACAAGAGTGATTTTGCAAGAAACAAATGGAAGTAGGTGGAAGGATTCAATACATGAGTCAAAAGTGTAATCAGAAAACAGCCACTGATTAGCATGAACTTTGTGTTATCGTATTAGGCCATTGAGAGGGACGGCCATGGGCAGTTTTTGCTTTTGAAGAGACACCTCACTCTTACTTCAGAAAGCCAAACCTTTTTTGTCACGAGTCGCATCAAAAGGGGCCACTTGCCTTCCCTTTCGCTTTATTCCGTTGTGTCTGGACTTTCTATATATTGATCCACCTCAACCTCAGACTCCGCTAATAGGCTAGAACATCTACAAAGTTGTAGAACGAGCATCAGAGAGAGAGAGAACAAGGGAGGAAGGGGATTCACCTAATATTTCAATCATGTGCCATCCAGGAGACCCTTTGCTCAGCCTGAACGACCTGTCGTCGGTGTTACGAAGGCGGTACCCAGTGCATGCTCTCAGAGCAACTGGAGACGACCGCGTGCCTGCTGCAGCAGCAACAGCAACAGCCGTGGCCGGGGTTGATGGGCTCGGGTCGAAGAGGAGATGTGTGTGCTCGCCAACGCGGCACCCTGGTTCTTTCCGGTGTAGGCACCACCGCACTGATTACGTGTGGGGGGGTGGGATGGTGAGAAAATGACCAGAAGATACGTACAAACTATAGCTAGCTACTTGAGAAGAGGAAAGGTGAAAACCAAGGCATGTCAAGCCTTTCTGTCTGTGAATTGTGATGCTTTTGTCCTTCCAGCTTTCAGTTTTAGAAATGAAAAATGGGTGATACGGGCAAGCCACTTTGTTTCGAATGCATGCGTGTGATCAGATGAGTAACTTCTCGAAAATCCATCTAATTCCTTTTGTCGGGTCACAGTCCCACTGTCCCGCGGGAAAAGAAGTAACGAAGAAGATCAGCCCCTTCGCAAATTCTGCTGTCTGATAGCTCCATACTGAAAACAACATAAGATACGACAAGCCGGGTTTTAAATCAGAGAGTCCAGGAGTGGCATGGCTGTGTGCAAGACTCGCCGGCGCATCATAGCGGTTCCCCTCAGTGGAAGCACCATCATGCCGAGCCAAGTATGGCGTGGTACGGCAGAACAGAAATTGTACAGAAACTAGTCGTAAAAGAACATAGAAGGGTGTTTGTGCAGAAACTCTATACTTCCAACTTTTATCCTTTCTAACGATCTAAACAGCAGGAGCTTGGAGGCAAGTCGCCGTTTTGACTTCTATACTTACAACCTCCGTTTGCTCTTTCTTACAACCTTTGTTTCCAAACTGCGTCAACCCTTTTCATGAGAAGGAAAATGGCATATAGCGCCGTAAACACAGAATCATTTGGGATGGAAGCGCCAGAAACTCTTTTCAGCAGAAAAATGAGGAGACCAAGAACATCTAACGATATTGGTCGCCCAGATTCCTTAGTGCAACCTTAGATATTCGAAAACCAATCTCCAGAGTCCGTGTATTAGATCGTTCGACAAACAGCGAGTGGATAAATAATCGTACTCAATATCTACTAAGACTCTGAATATCAACTAACATAATAATTTGGTAAATCATCGGCACACCCATCATTATCAAAGTTCATCATCTGTAACAATAAGAGGACACTGTTAATTGATGTCAACGGTCCAATCCAAGGGCTTAACCAAGGTGGACTATGCTTCGCGAAGCATAGTCATAAGTTCAAATCCTGGCAAAGGTAATTTTCTTAAGACAATCCTCAAAAATCTATTACCTTTGTAGCTATCCATTTGCAGTGGGATGGGAGAACTACCGCAACTCGATGGGATTGAGGTGCTCTCAGAGGCAAAAAACCTACGTCGTTATCAACAAAAAATAAAAAGAACAAATTTGTAGTTGGTTCAGCAAGATTAAAGACATTGGAACTCCAGTTCAAGAGAAACATCAACGACATTCTGTATTTGAAAAACTTGTAACTACAAGGAGAAAAAGGATATCCATTTTGTATATACACAGAGTTATAGGTCCTGCTGCTCTATAAAGTTTTGTATCTCATATTGTACCAGTCATCATTTGCATACTGAACCTATAAATCAGTGGCCGCTGAAAAATGCATTCAATCTACATACAGCAACGAAGACCAAGCTTTATCCCCAGTGCAAACATTTTGGAGTCCGGAGATGAAAGCCTTCTGCAATCACTGCAAGCATTTAATATTAGAAAAGTATTGACTGCCTGTACTTTCTCCTTAGACGCAAATAATCATAGCCATTGAGGATTTTCCACCGATCTGCTGGGAGTAACAACCAAAATCTGTAAAACTATGTACTGGCGTAATGCAAAGATATCCAAGAGACGTTCGCTGAGGAGAGACTAGTTGAAAATCAACTCGTCGGCGAGGGATGAAAGAGCTCCTAGCAAAGAAAGAAAAGGAGAAGAAAAAAATATCATTCAGTTTAGGCAGCAGTTTATCTGTTAGCTACACAACAGTATATAGGCCTATTCCTATATACAACTAATAACCGAAACTATACGGTCATTGCATTCTTGAGTGAACCTTAGGTCCTACACAACATTACCAAATCTTACACTTCACTGCCCAGTATCCATGTCCAACAGGTCAACAAGGTATAACTATTGCAGTTGGACATCACAAATTAGTCCGACCATACATAAGCCTGGAAGCTCTAGGTCATTACTATAAAACAGATACAAGGAGTCCACCTCAATTGGCACAACTTATTCAAGCAAATCACACCACATGTGAACATGCAGATCAAGAAGTCATGACCATCTAGTATGGATTTAAGTTGGAAGGACATGGGAGCAACATCCAGTATCCTAATTGGAGAAAACAGATAAAAGAAGTCCACCTAAACCACATGTGACCATGCCAATCAAGAATTCACGACCATCTAGTATGGATCCTAATTGGAGAATCCTTGCCTCCCTTCCTCTCTATCTCTCACAATCCTTAAACCAACAACTGGTTTGAGCATTCTCTCTCTCTCTGAATCCTTAAACCAACAACTGGTTTGAGCACGCAAATACAAGGCATTTTGAGTAGCCAATACTGGTAGATCACTCAAAAACCACACATTACTCATCCATAAAAAGATATTACACGTAAAATCGACATCAAATTGCAGAATTTCTCACCTCAGGAGAGCAGTTTTGATGGGCAATAGTCTGGCTCTTGACATTAACAGATACCTCGCAAGATACCCTCGCCTGACACACATTTTAAGAGAAAAAAAATTCAAGATAAAATCAATTAGAAAGCCATGCACATTTCAGTAGAAGACAAGTGACCATAATTATAAGTCACATTGCAGATGGCATGCTCCATTGAAGCCATGGGAAAGATAATTAAGACTCAGCACTCACCGGAGAAGGGTTTTTTTGCACCATTCAACCACATAGCTATGACTAGTACGGCGATGCATATGAGAACTTTATATGTTGATATTACCATCATATGTTTTATTTGTAAAGGAACGAACAGCATGCCTCATGGATGACAGGATTTTTAGGCCAGCAAAGGTCGCCAATTTGTAGCACAAAACCAGAAACAGAGCCACAAACTCAATCAAGAAGTGGATATCATAGTTCAATCTAGAAGTGCATATCGCAGAAAGACAAAGTGCAATGACCAAAGCAGACAAGTTAGTGACTACATTAGCTATAAAAGAAACAATAAAGTAAAAGTCCAAGACTATTACACATCACAAGAAAGAAGCCAGCTAGCGTACTGGGAAATGCTAAATATCTCTTAAACAAATCTCCGAGTCCACAAAATGCTACATGCCAGTAATAGCATCAGGAGAAGATAACATCAATAATCCAAAAGCCTTCCCTTCTCTTTGATGAGTAGGCTAACAGACAAATGATCGAGTGAGTACATCTGCGCTAACTGCTAATCAATGTGCATCGATAGTGGAATCTCATACGCCAACTCCGTACATTTGCAAACAGGACAGGACGCAGCTATGTAATATAAGCATTTCCCAAACACATCAGAGTAGCCTTCCAACCTCTCTAGCAGACTGACACCTACAGATCCTCCTGAATATCAAACTTCGTTTTCTCTCACAAAGCACATGATGCCCTTGTACCCGATTTCAGTGTGCTACCATGGTCAGCTCAAAATATTTGTCATCCACAAAAATCAAACCATTTTTCCACTACAATGCACATTGCCCGGGTGGTCATATCACCATTTCCCACGCGAAGTCTGGTGCATCTCTACCATGATGCTCACAAGCTTCCCACTTTACAAATACAAACTCTTAACAGAGTTCTTTCAGTACACATCATACAAAACATTGAAATTTCAAATCCACAAATACTTCTATCAACAGTTGTATCACCGGCCTTCGCACAGAAACAAACGCTAGTAATTGCCATTTCACGCAAAATCAAGGCTAATCAGAACACCACATTCCATGGACAAATTCGATACAAGTCCAGAAGCACAACTACCTTAATGGGCAACTCGACGAACAAAATCCCCAACATCCCGTTGACTTTCGCGTCGGTGTCGAACGGCACCACGCCCTTGGCCAAGTCCTCGAGCAGGTAAAACGCGTCGTGGACGACCTGGAGCCCGTCCAGGTCGAGCGTGGTGTCCACGTACGACGACCCCCGCGCCCTGATCCGCTCGCCCTCCGACGTGACGAACCCGAGCTCCCGCCCCCGGTAGCCCACGGAGACGTTGAAGGACCTCAGGTACATGGAGAACAGGTCCCTGTTCTGGACCCGGAGGGTGAGGTTGAAGGAGAGGTCGAGGGTGATGCCCGGGGACGTGCCAACCCGGACGCGGTTGAGCCTGATGCGGGCGAGCTCGACGGTGGGGTCGGAGGGGAAGAGGAGGAACGCGGCGGCGGCGGTGAGGAGGAGGGCGGCGGAGAAGCAGAGGCAGCGGCGGAGGCGGAGGCGGAGGCCGCGGTGGCGGGGGTAAGGAGGGAGGACGATGACGACGGCGGCGGCGTCGGGCGGAGGAGGAGGGAGAGGAGTGTAGGGAAAGGCGGCGGCGGCGGCGGCGGTGGAGTGCTTGGAGGACATGTTTGGATCGGCGATGAATGGACGGGTTGTCGTCGATTCGGGGGTTTTTATCGGGTGCGGCCATACGACTCCTTTTTGCCGTACACGCCACATGGGCGCGGCCCAGCTGTTGCACTCCGATTGACGGAAAGGGCTAGGGAAAGCGCCACGTCAGAAAAATAGAACTTGACACGTGGCAGGAGAAAAAGAATTAAAGCAAAAGCAAATTGAAAATCCGACGATCTTCCATTCAAAGGTAGAGTCAATTAGGGGTGTGCAAAAAAAATTGAGAACCGCTCGAAACTAGGCCGATCCATCCTAAAATTGGTGGTTCCTAAGGAATCGGTCTAGTTCTCAATTCCAATTTATTAGAACCGGTGGATTCTTATGCGGTTTTCAGTTCCAAGTGTGAAACCGACCGCCCGTTAACCCGGACCGGACCAGGCGTTCATTTTTCTTATATATATATGCTCGTCTCATCTCACTCTCATCTCGGTCTCTCTCGTCTCAACTCTCTCAAGCAACTCCCTCGGTCTCTCCATCTCTCGACTCACGGCCTCGACTCTCAACTTCCATCACCTCGTGGACGCTCCTCTGGCTGTTCGTTGCCTCCCTCTCTCGCTCTCGGTCACCTCCATCTGCTGTAAGTTAGAATCTAATCTTCAATCTACTCACTGTTCGAGGTACTGAGAGGAAAGTCAAGTGTTCTTTGCACATGTTTGAGAGGAAACTCTTTGGGTTTGGGCTGCATGGAAACCTCATTATGGTCGGTCTAGCTCAAAAACTCTAGAAAAATTAAAGCTCAAAATCCCTAACCCGTAAGTTGTTTGTTTGTTTAATGTATGATATGCAATTTGTCTCATGGCCTGCGAATCTCCCTAGTTCGAATCGAGTGATTCAAATTGTAGTTTGTATGCTGTGTCTTTTTATACTCTCTTTCTCTGTTTTGTCTCCTTTTCTCTCTAAATTTTGTTTACGCACGAAGTGTCCTGGTCATGTATGTGTGGTAGCCGGCAAGTGATGGTATATACTCAGTGATGGTCGGAGATGATTGATGGTGGGGTAAAGTGTATCTGTGATGTTCTTTGTACTAAGCTTGTGTCTATTGTCCTTTGTGTAAAACGATCATGCGATGATCTTTGGTGAAGTGGTTGTATGCCCTGTTTTTCAAAATGAAGAGTGCACATCAAGGGATATTAGTTTCTTCAACAGGACAACTTAAATAAAGTCATTTGAAGAAACTAATGGAGAGTGCACATCAGGGGATATTAGTTTCTTCAACGACGAATATCCTCCATTGATGGCGTGTTGCATGATTCGAGCAGGTGATCTATTAACATGTCAATGGAAGTGCAGAAATCATATGATGCGACAACGCTGACAATGAAATCAGAATCACTAGAACATGGAGGTTGTGAAGACGACTTTGAAGAGGCATTCAACACAAATAAGATATCTGGTTCTTGTCCTCCTCCTAGTTGAAGACGATAAAACTAATGTTGAATGATCATTTATACTTATTGTTTTTTTGTTTTCAGGAGGTTGGAACTTTGGAGTTTAAGAGCTCTCAAAGCTTGAGAAAGTTGCTTGCTCTTTTTATTCCTGACAATGGGAGATTTGTGTTCATTTATTCTCAGTTGAGAAGTTTATTTACTTTATTTGCTTGCTTACTCTTGCAAACTTGTGGTAAACTCCCCCGTGATATATAATGTAGATTACAGATGCATTTGTAATTCACAAGCTTCTCAAGTTGTGAACTTTGTGGCAAATCTTGTTGTGATTGTTATGTCATTGTAAAGTTGTCTAACATACTGTACCGGATGAGTTTGTTCCACGTACTTGGGTTTGGTTTGGTCTAATTTGTACAATATATGCCTTATCGGAGTGTGAGATAGCAAATCTCTGTTTGTTCCATGAATTTCTTTCGCCTCAACGTTCTCGTATTTTAAAGAACTGGGCATGGAACTTTATCTTTGTTTTTTGCTTTTCTTTGGCTATGGATTTCGTTTGTCCACTTTCAATATGAGACCAAGGCAGACTTTTTAGTGATCTTGCAGTTAAAGAACAGGGAAGTTCTTTGTTTTTGGCTTTACTTTGGCTAGCTGAAAAACAAGCCATTAAGTGCGTGAAGCTTGGTGGGACCGGTTCCATAAATCCACTCGAGAACTAGACTCGATCGGCTGTCCAGTTCCCGAGTAGGTCCATGGAACCAACGAACAGTCCCTGGTTTCAATTTTTCGGAACCGATCCTTAGTGACCGGTTCCCAGTTCGGTTCCAGGGTGGGAACCGCTCACCCTGGAAACAATCATCCCTACTATCAATGCGCATTGGAAAATTTTAAGGGTTAATGACACAAATGGTCTTTAAACTTTAACCCAATATGCAATGTGGTCCATGAACTTTAAATTTGTTCAATATGGTCCCTGAACTTTAACCCAATATACAATGTGATTCCTAATTTTTTAATTTATTTAATGCGGTCCCTGAACTTTTGTTGTTAAACATTTTCATGTACCAAAAGTTGAGAGACCACATTAAAGAATTAAAAATTTAAGAATCACATTGCACATTGAGCTAAACTTCAAGGACTATATTGAACAAATTAAAAGTTCATGGACCACATCGCACATGGGCCAAAGTTTAGGCAACATTGAACATTTTTATATAGTCAAGGGACTAAATTAAATATGTACCAAAATTTTAGGGATCACATTGACCAAATAAAAAATTTAGGGATCACATTACACATTGGCCTAAAGTTGAGAGATCACATTGAACAAATTAAAAGTTCATGGACCATATTATATATTGGGCCAAAATTCAGGGACCATTTATGTCATTTTTCCAAATTAAAATGTCCACCCATACGTGTTTCTCCATTCACAATCCATCTTTTACGTTTCTTTTAGAGAAAACCTTTGTTCTTCCATTTTCGTTTTAGAAGGAACTCCATTAGAGTAAAGCTTTGTCCTTCCATTTTCATTTCATAAGAGCTTCATTGAGCACAGTGGGTTGGGCACTCCGATTCATTGCGACCATTGCGAAGGTTGAGCACGGTTTAACACGTGCGAAGAAACCACATGATCTTCACCTATTAAAGATTGCATTTATTTGTGATTTGGCAGCGAAGACACCGCAAGGTTGTAGTTGCAAAGCTCTTCTGACATCATGATTAGAAGTGGCCAACAGCATCAACATCTTCAAACGCAATGTTTTTTACTTAACCGCATAGCATGAGAGCTTTGTGCCACATCATCACAATAAGTGCATTGTTTTGCAACTTATGTCCACCTCTATAGAATGTATTGTGATGGAATGCTTGTAACATTTAGAAGATGTGTTAAGATGCATAAAATATGCATGCACAATCATCCTTGCATTTCAAATTACTTGCATCTACATGTAATGGTAGAATCACTTGGACTAAAATGGACAAAATGCTTTGGTTCCCACGATATAAGTGTGTAACAGCCCATCATTTTCTAATCTAGGAACATGTTAAAAAAATGCAAGAACTAAGCCTAGGAATTCCTATAAATGACATGAGTATATGCATTGGCAACACGTTTCAAAATTCCATTGTTTTCAACCATAATTTGTGGCTTTCCTTGAGCACACTCAAAATCATCAACAACTTAGGAAAAGTGTAAAAAAAGTCATAAACCTTTAGCATTTGTGTTAATTTAATACTAAATCTTTTTTTTTGTACCAATTCAGTCCTAAACCTTTTGTTTTTATGCCAATTCAGTCCTTTCGGCAAATTTTGATCGGATTTTACTGACGTGGACGCTGGCGGGGTGGCGGCCGGCCACCGGCGCTGACGTGAACAACTTTTAATAATATTTGAATATTTTTTTCGAATTTTTATTTTTTTTAATTTTTTTCTATTCTTTTTTTTTCCTCCCTTCCCTCCTTCCTCCAGCCAGTCGTCGGTCCGGCGACAGGCCAAAGGCTAAAGGCCGACGAGGTTGACCTCGCCGACCACTAGCGAGGCTCACCCTCGCTAGGCGAGGGCCGACCTCACCGGATCTGGCGAGGGTCAAGCCTCGCTTGCCCACTGCGAGGCCGCCCTTGCAGCCATCCGGCGAGGGCCTCTGGCCAGTCGCCAGTCCGGCAACCGGCTGGAGGAAGGAGGAAGGGGAGGAAAAAAGAAAAATAAATAAATAAATAATTCAAAAAATATTAAAAAATTATGAAAAGTTTTCACGTTAGTGCCGATGGCTAGCCGGCATCCACGTCAGTAAAATCCGGCCAAAATTGGCTGGAAAGACTAAATTGAAACAAAGATAAAAGATTTAGGACTCAATTGGTAAAAAAAAAAAGATTTATGACTAAATTGGCACCAATGCTAAAGGTTCAAGATTTTTCTAACACTTTTCCTTCAACAACTTCAGTGTTGTGCATTTTTTCAGCTTGCTTCTCATAACGATTGACAAATTAAAATAAAGTCACAGTCTTACATGCCATATCTTGAAAGACATTATACATTTTTTTGTGTAGATCTAATTCCTTCGGGAAAAAAAAAATCACAACCAAATGCAAGACACTATTTATGACGCATGCGACATATTATCCAACCACTTGTTGTGACCAAGCTCCACTCCTGACACGTAACTTTCCAAGTGTTCTCTATTTCAAGTTTAGATTTACAATGATATAGAAAATTTTGCCAATATTTATCGGAGAAAACCTGGATTTCCAAGAAAATGTACAATATGATGCATAGCGTTTTTCCCAATTTGTCATACACATAAATGATTATCAAAATTCGAAAGAAAAGAAAAGTTCTAATGGCATTTGCCATGGAATGATCTTCATCAGTGAAATAGTATTGGCCATTTAAGTTTGCACAATCTAGTTATTTCGCACAGCTAATTATTACCTTAGAGCATGTTTGAATTGGCTTTTTGTTCTCACTTGTTCAATCGAAAACTTGCAACTTACCTGCTTTGTTTTTTTTTAATTGGAAATTTCACAATACTTAAATATTGACATTTAGATTCACATATGAAAACATAAGTTTTTACAATTTGAATATCTTAAATTTTGG